GGGCTGAGAGTCTGTGACTGGCCCAAAGTCACCCCATGAACTCCATCGCTGAGTGGGGACTAGAACTCTGATCGCTCAGCCCCATCCCCTTATCACTACACCACACTGGCTCTCATTTGTAAAAGTCATAAGTGATATTACAATATTTTTAGTGCTGAGCCAACAATTGTCCTAGCTCAAAATTGTGCAGTGAAAGAGAGTCTGAAATCAAGGTGAGATGTATTGGTGAGGATGCAATTCCTGAAATGTGCGGCTTGGAGGATTCCTACTTCCTGCAGTGGTAGATTTTTGCTCTGCTTTTTTCCTGCCTGATTTTAGAGAAGTCCCTGGGATAGCATGTTAAGGAGTTGTCACTGCAGAATGCTACATGCTGCTCATACTTTTGGGAGCTCTGCAACTCCCCTATTCTGAATAAACTGTGAATATGGTTGTCGAGAGGAGGCCCAGCCCCCTCGGGTTACAACCTCCCCAGCTATAGCGTGGATTCAGAGTGCAAGGGGCATGAGCAGGAATTGGCACTGTCCTTGGGCCCTGTCACAGGGTGTCAGGCCAAAAAGCAAACCAGCTAAGGGTAGTCTGCCATTGCTACCATCTCACCCTCAAGTAGCATGAGCCACCCTGAATGTGGAGTCCAATCTTTTTTTAAAAGGAGGGGAAAGTTCCAGTTTGGATTCAACTCTGTTCCCACGTACCAGACTCTACTTCTGCATACCAAAGGAATTGTTACTCAGATTTTATGCTGTTTGAACACCTGTGGAGCTTTTAAGGTTTTGTTTAAGTCCTCTGGAGAAGGAAAAGGAGAGGAAGAGACTTGCTTTCAACAATGGTCTTTCCAAGTTAGGAAAGGGTTAGCATTATGGTTAGTCTGTTCCTGGTCAGTTTCACATGCCATAAAACCTTCTATTCCATTTCCTAGCTAGCTTGAATTTAAAAAAATAATTTATGGAACAATCTATATTTAGGTATGCCTTTTAAAACTTCTCCTTTTTATAAGTAATGAGTTTTGATGTAAACCTTTCTAAGAGCTTTGTTAGCTGTGAATGGTGTACAAAAGCAGTACATAAATGAATAAAGTAGGCATGCCTAAATTCTCTCTATTTTTTTCTAAAATGTCTCTATTTTATAATTCTAAGATACTCACTGCTCTATGCGAATTGACTATTTTTTGCACCAACAGCTGTGTTGCAAAATACAAAGACAGTTAGAATCTGATGTAGAATTCCATTCTGCCCCATATGTTCATCCAGAAATTCTCATTGAGGACTGTTTGTATCAGAATTTACAAAAATCAGATTCCTCAAGCATCCTTACTCAAAATGTTATGCCATGAAATGAAGTGACTATGTGGGGAGGATGTATGTTCACTCTGTTTAATTGTACTGCAAGTTGTCCATTTCTCATATATTAGAAATAAGCTTTTTTAATGGGAGACCAGTTTTCTCTCAAATGGCAGGATACTATGGCTTCTTGATACAAATAGACATATATTTTACAGACTCTGCCTCCACACTACCACATGACTTTCATACGTCAACAGACTCTCTGTACTTAAAAGGCATGCTCTCCAGAGAGTGGTGCTGTTGGTAATTATTTCAGACTCGGGGCTTAGAGAAGTGCAGGAATCCTGTTTTCAGATCATACGAACACAACCTGTTCACAATCCTGAATGCAAATCTGGGAAATTTGCAGTTTTCAGAAGTTTGCATTTTCATTCAGAACACACAAGTTCCCATTTGTGAAAATGCACATTTTCCCCCCACCCAACCCTCATGCTCATGTTTTAGCCGTCAGTGGGAAGGAAGGATATCTTTGGTGTTCCTGCTTTCACTCTTCTTGTTTGGAGGGAAAAAATACACTTATGTTGGGGAATGAGAATGAGGTTAGATGAACAGCAAGTTGGACAGCAGATAACCTCAGCAACTTTGAACATTACTTGTTCTTCCATCCCGACTCTGGAATTAATGGTCCTATACCCTTCCCCTGCCACTTGAGATGATTCATGTTTATTATTTCAGTTCAGAATAAGGAAACCGAGCCCTGTTGCATTTGACCTGTTGACTGAGTCCCTAGATGTCTGCCCCAGAGTCCTACCCTGACAGTGCCAGTATTTACGCTTTACTTTTGTTCTTAAGTGTTGTTTTTTAGTAAGTATGTAAGGAAAACCCTTTGTATAGTGCCGAACACTTCAAGGCATGATAAAGAACCAGTAGGTTGACTTGGTGTGTCTATGTCTGGACAGAGCTAGCATCTCCTAGTTGGTGCCACTGCATTTTGAAGATGCTTTGTATCCTCTGGCAGAGAATGTGATTGACAAAGCTTTCAAGATTGGAGATAAGAAGAGCTGAAAGTGGTGTGATGGAAGCATCAGTTCCCATGGTAAGAAACAGGCACATTCCTTGTGCCCCCCTGTTGCCTGTGCTCAAACAGTTTTTGAAGCAATACTAAAACCTATTTATCAGAGGTTTAAAGTGGGACATGTGCATGTATCACTTCCAAATCTTCACTTTCAAAATGAAAGCTATCACTTTCAAATCTTCTTCAGCTCTGGAAAACTTACAGGCTCCCTTCAACCTGTCAGAGGGAGAATAGAGGCTTCATCAGGGTATTGAGGTGTACTGTTGCTCTGCCAGATTATTTTTTCTTTTCAAACATAGTTGATTACTCAGGTTGTGCCCTCTTAATTACTGTGCAAAAGGCAAAGGTTTTGCTTGTGATAATTTGCCATCTATATGTCTCTGAAGCAGCTTTTCCTTGACAGCTGCAAATGTATTTGTCCATAGCAAAGAAAAGTTGGCAGTTGGCTAGAAAATCAGTGTAGGACCCCAGCCCTGATACTAAGCAAGTCTGGCATATTTGTAAAGGACTGAGCCAATGAAATGGTGACAGAAATACAGAGTCATTCTTTCCAGCACTTATTGCGTTATCAGTGACTCTAATGACATGGATTTTTCTTACCCTTTTAAATCTGTAATCTATTATGCATTAGTCAAGAGCACTGTTAAGCTATTGCTTGAACTTAAGAAGAGCTGTCGCTGGATCAGACCAAAAGGTTCTAGTCCAGCATTCTGTTCCCACAGTGACCAGGCAGATGCCCTTCACATGGCCGCTCTGGGCAGTGGGAAAATGGCCCATGTTTCTGCCTCACTCTTGCAGCTTGCAGCTTGCAGCTTACTGCTCTTGTCTCAAAGGTTATCCTTGCCATTGTCCCATCAATTGAATTTCTTACTTGGTTTGGTTTGGTTTTGTTTACAGTTAAGACTAGAGAAGATGTTACTGATGAAGAAGCTTGCGATGGCGCCTGTCTCCCCCACCCTCCCGAGCATGATCACTATTGCACGATTATGATTTAGACTCTCCCTCCAAACAATAACCTCCCCCCACCTAGGTTAGCGTTCTGTACTGTATTGTACTCTGTTATTTTGTTGTTCTTTGTTACTTTTTTTCAAATTTTTGTGATTAAAAAAAATATTTACAGAACGAATTAACCTTATGGGAAAGTTTGACTTGGCTCGCAACCAATTCGAGTCGCGACCTGAGTCGTGGAACGGATTACGTTCGTGAGCCGATGTTCCACTGTATTATCACAGATGCTTGGCTCTACAGATCTCAAAACTATTAATTTGTGTCTGCAGAGATCACATGTCTCCTCTTCACAGCAAATAAACATACAAAGTTGAGAAAAAAACCCCTTCATGCCATTGTTCCTCTGCAAATCTATGTGCACAGAATCAACTCCTTACCTCTTTGAGTGGTTTTAAAAAAATCAATGACTGGAAGAAGATTGTTGGCAGTGGAATAGATCTGGGCAAGAAGCAAAGTATGAGGAGGAATGGGAAAGCAGTAAAAATTAAAGCAAAGCCTTTTGAGCAGAATACTCCACAAGCCTTTAGCTCTTTTTTGTAGCTTGGGGTTTATAGTAATACAGTGGTGCCTCGTAGTTTGAACAACTCTAACTTTGAATGATCCAGATTTTGAACGTTGAGTTGAGATAAAATTGCTCTGCGGTTTGAACATTGCTTCTACATTGGAACTGCAAGTGAAGCTAAAAAAATGTGGTTGCAGCATAAACATCATCTATTATGTGCCCAAGTCATCTCTTGTGATTTCAGCACGTGCATTTTCACTGCTTTTTTTACTTTATTTTTTGGTTATGTATGAGGTGTGATCAAAAAATATGGTGAATGTTTAAATTAAAAAAAATACAGTAAAAGACATATTGCCATTAATCCCCCTGAAATAATCACCCTTGCTTCGAACACACTTATCCCATTGTTCTTGCCACTTTCTGAAGCAGTTCTGGAAGTCCTCTTTCATGAGTGTCTTTAGTTGCGCTGCCATGGCTGCCTCAATGTCTTGAAGGGGGGCACGCACTGGTGTGGGGTCCCAGGTGGGTTGCAGCAGCACTGCACATGAAGGACCACCATTTCCCCCTTCATTAGATGGGTGAAGAGGAGGAATTGCTCCTCAGCACAGCAGGTCACTGGAGCATCTCCACTGCCTTTGTAAACGATGATCAGGGGCAGCGCGGAGCCGTGCTCTCAGCACGCTCCCTGCACGGGAGCATACCTACTCCTTCGCTCCTCAATGTCCTGAATCGATTCAAAACATCTTCCTTTCATGGTCGTTTTGACTTAGGGGATGAGCCGGAAGTCGCATGGTGCCAGATCTGGTGAATAAGATGGATGAGGACACATCGTAATGTTTTTATTTGACAGAAATTGCGGTACCAGAAGCAACATGCATTTTGGATTGATTCAGGACATTGGGGCAGCCACGACAGCGCAACTAAAGACACTCAC